AGCCTTCTGTCGTCCTGCACCTCGTCAGTAGTCAAGACCCTGCAGTGCTGTCGTCGACGTGCCAAGTGGGTGACAAACTACTACTACTACTACTACTACTACTACTACTTCTACTACTACTACTACTACTAGTACTAGGGTCTACTACTACTACTACTACTACTACTACTACTACTACCACTACTACTACTAGTACTCCTACTACTCTACTACTACTACTACTACTACTACTACTACTACTACTACTACTACTCTGTCTGCAAATATTTTTTGATGCTTAGCAAATTTTTTTTGATGGCCGCAGGGTCGATTTTTTTTTGATGTCTATCAAATTTTTTTTAGATGCTTCACCCCAACACTGATCACACTGTTGCTTCTCAATGGGTTCATACCTTTCAGGCAGCTTTCCAGAAATGTCCTGAGACTCATCGTATCTAATTCCCGAGCAATCCATGGCCCAACTCCATTGTGCAGAAGCTGCTTCCATTCTAGATCCGTCGAGTTGATGACGGCACGTCACGATGTAGCAGGTTCTCCAGCATTGTCTGGGCCAAGCTGTTGCTTGATGTTTTTACAAGTCGAAGCAGAGATGGTGCCAAGAACTGGCAGACTCACCGTGAGATCGCGACGCCCCTGAGCCATTTTGTTGCAGCAGGAGGAGAGCTACGCTAGCGACTGGATGGATTTCGCTCGCGTGAGCCCTCGGGGCCCACGGCGAAGTCGCAGCGATTCCTCGGGTCGCCGCGGGCCGCAGGTTCCGTCGTCAGGGTGCTTGGCTTTTCTCACTGTTGCTTGCATGTCGGTTTCAGCAGAGGTCTTTCAATTGATCATAGTTGTATTTCAAGCTGCTTCGGAGTTTTGTCGTTAAACACTTGCTGGACCCAATGTTCGGGCCGCAAGGTGTTGAAGAGTAGGTGTGTGTGTGTGTGTGTGTCTGCTTGAGGGTGGAAAGCCCAAGCTAGGCATCTGCGCAGGTCCCAGACGACACAAATCTGCAGCCCGGGGTGGCGGCTCTTCGTGACATGTTGTTTCTTAGCTGCGTGGGCATTATCTTTTGCATTGTATTTTTGCAAGACAGGGTAATTCGGTAGGTGGCCTCAGTTCCAGGAAGTTGGAAAGCAAAAAACATCAAGGCCTTTTCGTTCTGACCTCTGATGAAGATTGAGTGGAACATGGCCCCTTCCTTTTCCAGCTTAGAGGCTCAATCCTCCTGAGTTTTGTTCTCTCGTCACTCAGGGGTATGGTGCGACCGGGGTACCGGCCCGCAGATGCCGCCCAGCAGCCAACAGAAACAGGCTACTTGGCTGAGGAAGTTTTTCTTTTGGAGGAGGAAAAGCTCTGCGAACGGTCACCTGGTCATTGCATTGCCTGGCAAGTCACCTTGCTGGATGCGAGATTCTGGCCTAGACCTCGGTATATGTGGTGCCCAAACGTCGTCTGCTCCTGACACATGCGGCTACTACATCTCCTCCTACGCGTGAGCAAGTTGGCCTGATTTAAGGCTGGTCGATCCTCTCAAGCACCGCGCCTTACAGCTCGCTTTCCATGCTTGCCACACCATGGAAGACTCGGAGATATGAGGACCTCCAGCCAGTACCCGGGTCTGGACTTGCGGTCCGACTCCAAACGTCGCAAAACTAAGACTCGCCACTAGTAAACCAGTACTCGTCTGGTCATCCGTGGCAGTGTGATAAGTATTCTTTTGATGGTGCTATGGAGCTCGAAATTGTTGACAAGACTTCTGTGCACATGAGCTTGTGCGCTGGTTCGTAGACAGTTTAAAGTCTGAAATGGGCAGGGCGAGAGCAAAGCCGGGCCGAGGCAGAGACAGTCAGGCTGAGCGTATGCTAGCAGGACCAGCTGGACACACCATCAACGGTTGCGACCGACTCTCCGATCGACATGATCTGGTCCCCGCGGCGGCGTTGGGTCTACGAGGGCACCGGCCTCGAACACGGAGTTTACAGGATGCGGGGTGGCCATGGACCATGGGTGCCTAGTTGATGTGTCCGAGCTCTAAAGCGAAGTTGCTTCTGATCAGGTCCTGCCCAGCTTGTCACGGAGCTGCCAGGTGATTCGGCAGCGAGTAGCTGAGCAGCTGACCTGCTTGATGTTAGCGTGAGTTGGTGATCTGTGCCACAGGGTTGAGGCAATGCACAGATGTAGAAGGTTTAGGGTAGGTAAGTTGCCAAGACACCAATTGACATCAGATTCTCCGGCATGAAGCTACCTTGGAGCTGCTTTTGCAGCTTGAGGTGCCTGCAGATCACCGCACCCCGACAGCGCTATGACACCACCGCGCAGGACGAGAGCTTGGCTGAGCAACCCACCCTTCTCACACCGAGTCGAGCCGCAGATGCTTCTGCCTCACACCTCGCCTCCAAGATATGCAGGCCTGCGCCCTCCAGGAAACCTGCTGGGCAGCATCTCTACTTTGCCCACAGTCACCACAGTCCCTTTCTCTCCAGCACCTGGCATTGCCTATGGCCAGAATCATGGCCTGCTTTGCCCGGTGCCACCCATGTAGTTGCTAATGCCACGGACCCGGACTCTCGGCAGAAACGGCGTGTAGCTGTCAACCAGCAGGGCTGCAGGTTCCTACTGGTAGCTGGAGAAAGGCAATTATCGCAATCAGAGTCGTGGCCCAACCGGAAACGGGTTGGCAGACCTCTTCACGTGCCAGCTTTTGCCGTCAAGATCCTTCAAGCTTGAACCTCGCAAGCAGACTCTCAAGCCCATCTCTAACCCTTCCTTCCAGTCGGCGTTTGGGAGTTTGCAGGGATCTTTCGGAGTGAAAGCAATCAACCTGCCCCGCACAACGCCTCTTCCAGGCCAGAATAAAAGACTCGTCGTCGAAGCAAGCCTCTGATGCTGAGCAAGACGATGGTTCCAGATTCTCGACTCAGGCCCGGGGCGGCTGGAAACTCATGGCAACACATGCCATGTCTTAAATTGTTGTGTTGGACTGACCTGATTGCGATAGCGGCTGGAAAGAGATCACAGATCACATGTCGCATGGTTCTTTAAATCATCTTGGGGGCTATCGAGCTTCACACATGTAATCATGTAATTGTGTGGCCACAGCCAAACCTAGCTGAATGCTGCACCGTCTGCTCGGGTGTCGCAGTTCTTGTTTTGCATGCTCGATGTTTGTCTACCAGTGGAATCATTTTGCTTAGCTCGCCTCATGTCTTTGATGCTGGGTTTGAGGCTGTGAAATGCTTCGGATGCTTGCAACGTCTTTGAGGTTGATGATTGGCTCGGCGCTTCCGGGGTCTATGAGAGCTCAGTGATCTTGGTCATCGTTTGTGGTTGCATTCTGCTCTGTTTCAGTGCTGGGCTCAGCAAAAGCAGAGCACTGCACCTGCAGCGACCAACAACAGAAGGAAACCAGACTTAACGTTGGCCTCCAGCCCCCAGTCGAGCTATTCAAGCCGTCTGGGGAGCCTTATGAGGTAGGGTTGTGTGAAGCATGCGCATGTTTGCCCGTCTCCATCTGTCTCTTTCTCTGTCTGTCTGTGTGGGTGACTGTCTGTCTGCCGGCGTCTCTGTGTGTGTGAGACATCTGCACGCATGCATAGGCCCACACCTGGTGCTTGGTCAGTGGGGCTGTGGGATTTGAGCTTTTTGTAAGGCATGCTGTGAGCGCGGAGCGTGCGATGATGTCTGCAGCATTGCCCCAGGCCTCAACACCGAAATGACAGACCATTTTGTATGCACATTCGTTTGGGGCACGGACTGAGCCAGCCGGCAGTACAAGATTGCAAAAACAAGCTGGCCTCAGCAAGTCTTCCTTCAGGGAGAGAGATGGGGACCTTTCGGTAGGTAAACATGTTGCCGTTGGAAATGCAGATTATGTCTCGATCGTGCGAATGGGTTGCAGAACCAGTCAATTCCTGCAGCATCGTCAAACATGCAGGAAGCACAAAGCGAAGTCGGGTTGAGGACGTGACGTTCATGATCCGTCAGGATTCATGCAGTTCTCAGAAGCGCGGCCTGCACGACCAGCATTCAATTCGCAAGGCCGAAAGTCTCAGAGAGGCTGCGTGAACCGACGCGCAATTGAACCTCTGGCTTCAGAGGGCAAGGGCTGCTGAGACTACTTGGTGCGGAGGATTTCTGAAGAGCTTTTGGCCAGCCCGCCAAACACCCGGTAGATTCGCAACATGAGAACATACACATACATTGCAGATTGTACATGATGCCAGTTGTTATACAATACAATAGCATGTTGCTTTGCAGCACTCGTCTGTTTCTTACTTTGCAGGCAGCCAACATCACGGTAGACCCCGAGCCTGCCGGCGTCCGCCGAGAAGACGAGGCATCAGGGCACCCTTAAACTGCCTCAAAACACGGCAGGTTTCGACAATGATCTGTGAAAGTTTGACATGCCCTAACCACACTAAGTGCAGTCTTACAACCTGCGCAGGATTAAGATTAGACTGCATAGATCGGTTTGGCACAAACCTGTCGAAACCGTTTTGCGCTATTGTCAGCAACACGTTCACAGTCGTTCTCAAGGGGCCCCTTGCGACGATGAGTCATGCCTGAGGTTCTATCAGGCCAACCGGTTGACCCAGCATCCAGAAACTAAATGTCCTCTAAATGTTGCGGTTTCGTCCTGTCGCAGCTTCACAACTCCGCTACAGAAGCGGGCACCTGAGGATTTTGCTCGGTGCTTTGCCGGGTTCTTCCTGACCTTCATGTCATCGGATGGCCGCCTATGGCATAAACAGCACATGTCACATCGAGCTCTTATGGCACAGCAAGCAAAGCGTACAGCACCGTTTTGACAGCCAAACTCGCAGCAGGCTTTTAGCAACTCCGGCAGATCCCCCATCCGGCAGCAGATTGACAAGATTCAGGCTGAGTCGGCAGAGGCTGGTGCAGAACAGTATGCAGCATGCGTTGGCGATGTCGGAAGTTCCAGTGTCAGTTCGATCATTTCGAGGCATTGAGGCTGTTGGACGCACAACGTCCAGAGCAGTTCTTCGGGGAGATGCCTGCAATTGAGCTGGTGCAAGAGGTGCGGGGCTGCATTCACTTCGTTGTCGTTTTTGAACTGATCACATGCACATGAGCAGCTCTGAGAGTGGATGCGGGAGTGTATGCAGCCTCGCATTTTGAGCTAATGCTGCCACAGACACGATTCGGTTTCCTTCGGCTTGAGCATGTCTGCATTGTGTCCATCGCTGCCTGTGTGCAGCTGGTGACACCAGCAGCTAGTGGAGAATTGGAGAGTTTGCCCAGAACTTCGCCATGAAAGATCGAGTCCGTGCAAAATCACCAAGCACGAAGTAGGAGTGCAGAACATGCTTGCTGCAGACACTCTTGCCAGGACCCACAGCAAAGTTAGGCCCATCGCACTTGTAGGATCCCTGTTAACCTTTGCATACCTTATGCCAGGCCTCATTTCCCAAGCGAAGTCAGCTCCGCCCTTCTAAAACCGGTTTCAGGTGCAAAAGGACGATGGTGAGGTCCAGGCAGTCGAGTCCGACGACTTTGGCTCATACGGTGCCGGCTTCGTTGCCGCAGAGGCCCCGCTGACTTGGTGAGATCGTGCGCACAAGCCGGGTGGCAGCGTGTGCAGGCGGCCAGCAGTGCTGCAGATCCAGAGCCAACTGCGGGCGACGCAGAAGACGAGGTGCCATGACGGGAAGTCATGTCCCAGCAACAGCAACTTATGTTACATGCGAAGCTTGCGATGCAAGGTGCCG